TCCCAGTGTCCCTCCCATCCCCCCAACCCACCCTGTCTCTGTGGCAGGGCATTCCCTTTTGTTCTCTCCCTCCTATTGGGTGTTGTGGTTTGTATAAGAGTTTAGCCTGATTTTCAGGGAGAGACGTTGGATAATTTACTTTCCATTGATCACTTTGTATATAGGGAGATGTTGAGTGGCTGCGTAAGCGGCCGTGTGGTTTGGAAGAAAAGTCCTGGTTCCCGCATACTCGAGCTATGCTTGTAGAGGCTCCTGGTCACTGGGGTTCCATCTGGAGGAGGCGGGATGCAGCACCTACCCCATCTGGGACTTCCCGGTGATCTCGGCTCTTTTTGGGACCTGGTGCTTTCTCCAGGAGCTGTGGAGCCCCCCCGTGGCCTTTCTTCTCTGTGGCTGTGTGCTGTAAAGATGGCACTGGGGGGCGGGTTGTGGGCATGACTTCCAGAATCAGAGGTTACCTGGGAGCCAGGAAGGTCCCGGCAGTTTGGAGGAAAAGTCCCGGGTCCCTCAAATTCGAGCTATGCTTGTAGAGGCTCCTGTAGTGGTAGGTTCTTTACCTGGAATTTGGTCAACTTGGGCTGGAGCAATAGCACAGTAGAAAGGGCATTTGCCTTGCATGCGGCCGACCTGGATTCGGTTCCTCTACCCCTCTCAGAGAGCCCGGAAAGCTACCGAGAGTATCCTGCCAGCATAGCAGAGCCTGGCAAGCTCCCTGTGATATATTCAATATGTCAAAAACAGTAACAATAAGTCTCACAATGGAGACTTTACTGGTGCCCGCTTGAGCAAATCAATGAACAATGGAAGGACAGTGGACAGACAGTGGGTTCAATCCCTGGCATCCCATATGGTTCCTGAGTCCACCAGGACTGGTTCCTGAGTAGAGAGCCAGCATTAAATCCTGTGTATCACCAGGTGTGCCAAACACCAAAACCAAAACAAAAAATAAGAAAAAGAAAGATAATTTTCAAAATAAATGAATCCAAATTATTCTTTTAGTTTGTTTGAAATTTGGTACCACATATATTTTATCACATTGATAAAATATAATTCATTTAATATACAAAGTATTTTAATTTCCCATATATCTGGCTCTATAGTAGTCTATTTACTGATGCTATATTGAAAATATCTTGACCAGGGCTGTAGTGATAGCACTGTGAGTAGGGCGCTTGCCTTGCACATGGCTAATTTGGGTTTGATCCCTATCATCCCATAAGGTCCTCCATGCTCCACCAGGAGTAATTTCTCAGTGTAGAGCCAGGAGTAACCCCTGAGCATTGCTGGATGTGGCCTCCCCCCAAAAAAATTAATATATAAAAGAAGAATTAAAAAATATATATCTCAGGACAGCAAGATGGCGCCTGCCTAGGAGCTTTTGGGAAAGCCAGGTATGAGCCAGTCATGACGGGGCAACTGAAACCTCATGAGAAGGGGGGCATTCCCAGCTCATCCTTCACGCCCTACCGAGGTCACAAGTTGCCCCCCACAAGTGGCTCTCCGGCACAGCCATGGCTCCAGAGCCACAGAAACCAATCCCATAATTTTCTGACTCTCGGCAGAAATACTTCCAGACTTAATAAGTAAAATACCAGAAATCCAAAATTGTGTGGCCTCAATAGTGGCCACACTACATCATTTGGTTTTTGTAACCAGCTATAGAAAACAAATTATTTCACAATGTCTTTTCATCAGTTCTGATTTTGGGGTGTAAACTCTAAATAATAATGGTGCATCTTTTGTCGAAACAATGATTCTAATCAAAGTAGATAGAGTGCTAACTAGAACTCATCTGCCGCACAGGTATTGGAGGGTTGGGAGGGGGTATATTGGGGTTCTTGGTGGTGAAAAATAAGTACTGGTTAAGGGAAATGTGTTTGATGATTGCATGACCGAGACTTGAAAGCTTTGTAACTTTTCCCACAGTGATTCAATATATATATATATATATATATATATATATATATATATATATGTATGTATATATATCTCGACTGTTTAAAAAGAGCAAAACTGTGCAATGATAATTAAATACATTAAATGACCCTACTATCATCAAACTATATTTTCTATATGTATTTTCTTACTATGTTACTCCAGTAAGGATAAATGTAATTACTTAAGAAGTCAGAAGCTATAAGCTATAGAAAATATAAAAGGAAAACAATGATTAGGAATAACTTGGCAAAAACACTGGTTTGGATGGTAACCCACTGAATGGAAATAAAATATAATTCCAGACTAAGTTACAAAGAAAATAAGCATAATGTCATTCCTTGGATCTAAACTGTTGTCTGTAAAGTAAACTCATTAGAAATTGACTTTGATGGCCTTTTCACTTTCAGATTAATTCATCATTTCCCTGAGACACATCAATTACCACCCTGTCACATTAACTTTTCGAAAATGACCCATTATGTGACCTGAATGAAAGGATCTTGTTGCCAAAATGATTTAAGGAAAGAGGCTTCCAAAGCATTTTATGAGAGGCACGCTGAGAGTTCAGAGGGCTTTACCCAACAGAATACGCACCACTTTTCCGTGTAACTTTTTACTTTAAAAAGTGTCTGGGCTGCAGAGGCCAGAAATAAGCCTTCAGAGGTACAAGAATCATTACCAATCAGTGGGCAGAACAAACAAGCAAGTATAGGATCAATAGCATACTTTGAAATGGTAGGGAAATTGTTTTTTCCTTCCCTACTAAAAAAATCATAATTCATTTTGATAAATATTAGATTAAATGTATTGCTTCTCCCCTTTAGTTATTTTGTCCTGACTTGTAAAGAGGACTTGTTTCTTCTCTTATTCTCTGTTCTCTCTCTCTCTCTTTTTTGACACTGTTATCATTTTTATTGAAGTACTGGGATTTACAACACTGTTAATTATAAGTTTCATGCACCCATCATTTCAACACCACACCCATGCTAGCTCAGTGCTGTAGACAAAAAATTTTTTTTCTAATGACTTGGACCATCTGTTGCCCCCTTACTATGCTTCTTTTTCAAAATCCCATATATTCTCTCTCTCTCTCTCTCTCTCTCTCTCTCTCTCTCTCTCTCTCTCTCTCTCTCTTCTCTGATGCAGATAGTAACATCAAAACTTCACGAAAAGCATTTCTCTGTTCTCTTGAAAGTTCATGGCAAGGGGGAGACAAGAGCTTGGAAAGGAATTTGGATTCATGTTGATCTGATCATTTTCACCAACTCACAGCAAAGATCTATTTTCTTAATCTGAGCTGTTTTTGCTTCTCAAAAGATGCTCTCTATGGGAGTCTACCTGGACACGTTCTCCACTCTCCCAGAGTAATACAAATTGTCACTCCTAGTGGTTCTACCTAGATTCTTAATAAGAAGGTGAAGATCACCAACACCCTCTAGTCACCTTCCAAATTATTCTCACTTGAAGGAAGAGGATGACGGGGAAGCATGCTTACTGATTGGTCAGGCATTCTGAAATCTTCCCAATTTCCAAACTCTGCCTAGGTTCAGACAAAGAAACTTCACTGGTTCCAGTGGCCCAGAATTCAACTCAGTACCCACAGAAGACAGACATGGGAATTAGTGTCAGTGCCAGTTCTAGCCAGACCCCAATCTACCCTCATATTTCTGACTACTATACTTCAGGTTACAACAAATAGGCACAAGCAGAACGAATCAAAATGAAATAGAATTTCTTCTTCCTCTGTACTCCCTTCCTTAACAATCCTCATGATGTATTATTGATGCTAACCTATGTGTTTATCTCCCTGTACAGACCCTGAGCTTGTGCTGGGAAGTGAATTGTTTTTAATGAATCATTATTCTTCACTCTCTATATCGCCAGCATCTAGAATAGCAACTGACATGCCATATCTAACTGTGTTCTGTACAAATGAGTCCAACAGAAACAGGTATTTAGAAGCATATCAAACCATTTTCCACAGCTGAAAAAATTCTATGCCTTTGGAAGTAGAAATATGCACAAGAAACAATTCTCCGCAGATTTATCAGGTTGCGTGTAAGGTGGGGATGAGTACAGCCATGCAGTGTTTTTTGAGTCCATTTGATAAAAAACTGTGCTCACTGACTATAGCACTCAACTTTAGATATCTGCATAACCAAGTCATAAAACACTAATTAAATTTAATCTTTCATTTTCCGTAAACCAAAGAATAGCGAAAAGCAATATGGGATTCTATTTTTTTTTCTGGTCTTCTAGTTCCTGGAGAATATATGGGTATGAAATGCCTCAAGAAAAAATGCACTCATCAAACTCACTTTTAATTCATTGTTAAAGGAATACAAAAATGTGTATTAAAATGCTCTGGATTGTTTGATGAAAGAAAGAAAACAAGATGCCTCTATTTTTTCAGCATAATGACAATAAATCATGCAAATTACAACTGCCACTAAGAGAATATAAAAAATTCTGAAAGCTTATCCAAAATATCATGTCTATATCAGCCGCATCTTTTTGCATTAGAATAAATACAATTCCAAAACTACCCAAATTTACCAGTGCTGAAATTTAATTTTAGTTTTATAATATTTAAGTCATGGTCTATAAAAGCTGCTTTCTGCAGGATATATTTGATTGGCTCGAAAAACTTGGTAGACAAGAGGAACCAGAGAACATTACAAAGCGTCAACTTAAATGTCTGCCAAGGCCCACCAACATCTCTAACAAATCCATATCAGATAATTTTTCAACACTAATGTATCGATTCAACACCAATTGCTTCAGAATTGGAAGCACGAACAGAAAGCCCAAACCATGAAGGTCCACCTTCATATTTCCCCTTCCATGTGGAAGAGCTTGAGACTGCAAGATTTGTCACTTAGCATTTTCAGACAGTGTTTGTCACCCTTTTTCATATGCATGAACAACAAGATTTTATGAGTGCCCAGGAAAGCGGGCGCTCTGGATATAAGCAGGAAAGAAAGGCTGGGTTTGAAGGTGTCTTAAAGTGAAGTCAGCATTAGAAGGGGAGCAATCCAGAGAGTGTCCCGCCAGCGTTTTACCTGGTCTTGGTCCTGCAGGTCCAGCTGTGACGCCTTGACGGTCAGCCCTTGTGCGTCTGCACTGAGTCTACGTGTCCTGTACAGAAGCGCCTCCATTTCTTGTACCTGCAGCCTCAGGCTTCGATTTTCTCTCTCCAGTTCTTGCTTTTCAGTTTCCAGTGTCTCCCGCTTGTCCCACTGGGAGGTCCGCAGTCTCTCCAGCTAAAGGATGCACAAGAAAAAAGCAGCATGTAGCAGGTCTAACAGCCCGAAGACCAAGCTCCCTGCTGAGGCCTGCCCATGCGGCCAGCTCTAGTTCAGTTCACCATGTCCAAAGATCCCCCCAAACACAGCAACATCGGGAATATTTGCCCTGAAGGTCTGCAATTCGGCTAAGGGATACCTAGAAGGAACTCAGAGACGAAGAAACCGTTTCCTAGTGCGACACAATCCAGAGAGAATTCAAAACCCAGAGCTTCTCCCTAAGAAGTAAAGGGATGTACCCCTTCAATGGGGTACCCCAGCTCTGTGACCGGTGTCTCTGAGAGAAGATTCGTCCAACATCTGTAGCACTGTAGCACTGTCCTCCTGTTGTTCATCGAGTTGCTCGAGCGGGCACCAGTAACGTCTCCATTTTGAGACTTGTTGTTACTGTGTTTGGTATATGGAATACGTCACCGGGAGCTTGCCAGGCTCTTCAAGAGGGGTGGATGAATCAAACCCAGGTCGGCTGCATGCAAGGCAAACACCCTACCGGCTGTGCTATCCGCTCCAGTCCTGAGTGATGAGGGTTAGACTGATAGCCTAGCTGGGCTAAGGGCTGGACTGAATATCGACTCAGTACTCCAGACTGAGGTGATGAAATCAAATTAGGCCACGCAAAGTTAGGTTTATTTCAGAAAGTTAGCATTTCCTAAGTCAAAGGTAATTTATTGTGGTGAGAATGACTATAAACACATGCTAGCGAGTGGAAGAAAATAAACTTGCTCAAAACCACAACACCCAGAAGGAGAGAGAGAACAAAAGGAAATGCCCTGACACAGAGGCAGGATGGGATGGAGGGATGGGGGGTGGGAGGGATACTGGAACCCATGTTGGTGGAGAATGGGCACTGGTAGAGGGATGGGTACTTAATCATTGTATAATTGAAACCCAAGCACAAAAATGTGTAAGTCTACAACTGTACCTCAAGGTGTCTCACTAATAAAAATTAAAAAAAAAAACCTTGCTCAGATATCCCTGGAAGAACAGTAGTGATAGAGTTTTCTATAATGCATAACAGAAAGGGATATTACTACATCCCAACTTTACTACTTATGACATTAAAAGACCTTTAACAAGGTCTTTAATGTTCTATACTTTCATCTCTTCCTTTGAAAACCAGTAGAGCTCTTGTCTTGAAATAAGCTCCGATGGGTTCCTTTATCTCAATCACCCCCAAAGGAGCCAATTTTGTTAAAAGTCACCCTGACTTCTTTTGAGAGATTCATTGGTTGATTATTAAACTGTCCTGAATGTGGGAACCTATTGCGATGCCCTCTGAATGGAGACAGGAGACACACCCGCCTCTCCCATTCTCCCTTTCATTCTGGATATTTTACCTTTGCCGGGTGACACCTTTATGCTGTAAAAGGCGTCAGCATCTTTTAATTTGAATTAGTTCATTATGTTGCATTTTATTTTGGAGGGGTGTGGACGTGTGTGCAGGAACGCTTTATGTATGAAACCCTACCAATACAGTTTCGCAAACCACATTGCCTAAAATAATTTTTAAAACATACCATATAATCTCATTTGTGTATTTAATCCTCCACTCGGTTTAGGCTGGAGTGATAGCACAGTGGTAGGGCGTTTGCCTTGCACGCGGCCAGCGGCCTGGCCGACCCGGGTTCGATTCCTCTGCCCCTCTCATCAAGTTACCGAGAGTGTATCACCCGCACAGCAAAGCATGGCAAGCTCCCCGTGATGTATTCGATGTGCCAAACACAGTAACAAGTCTCACAATGGGGACATTACTGGGCCCGCTCGAGAAAATCAATGATAGAGTTTTCAACGGGAAACTCGGGAGGACAGTGCTACAGTGAAGTGTATTTAATTGAAGAGATAAAACAAAAACCAAAAAAAAAGTTTCCCCACCATGGACATGTTCACCTTCCCACATCCCATAACCTCCAATCAGGGATGCATGTTGGATTCTTTTGGGGAGGCATTTACAAAGTCTACTACAAAAACACCTCTAGACGTTTCTATTTAATTGATTGTGATAACTACAGGTCTCCCTGGGTCCATTTTTATTCCCTTACCTTCTCTATATTTAGATTTTAAGAAGTAATATCAACTGAGTTTCTTTTCGCCAGACAGTAATGCCAAGAGTTTGCTCATAATTATCAAGAGATTACTTTTTCATGTTCTGTATTTATGAATTAAAGGAAATATATAGGTTTATAGATTCTTTTTGTTTTATTCTTTGATTTTTAGGCCACATTCCGGTGTGCTTAGAGCTGACTCCTGGCTCTGCCATCAGGCAACACTCCTGGCAGGCTTGGAGAACTATAAGGCACTCGAGATTGAAGCTCGGTCAGCCGCACTCAAGGCCAGAATCCTGCTCGTTGAATTCTCTCTCCAGCCCCAGCTTCTGAGTTTTAAATTATAACCAAGAGCCTGATTTCTAATCTTAACTTCAGCATTCATCCCGTAACTTCAGTAAAGTAACTTCACGCAATTACTGTTGATGATGCATTTTTTAGTCCCTGTGGACGTTAAAATCCAGGAAACCTATCAGAAAGCATGTTGTAGTGTAATATACCATTCGGATTAATATAGCATATAGAATTGTGGAATTCTATGGTATGATTTTAAAAGAGGGAGAATTATATATGATTTTCTATCATATATTTGGGGGAGGTATACTCATCTCAAAATAATTCGTGGAATTGATGTGTCCAGTGAGGTGACTCTCCACCGTAGCAAAGACAGTACATTCTGTCACTTAAACACTGGCTGGTACTTGACCGGACACCCACTCCTCAGTTTTTATAGCAAAATGGCAACAAGAATATCAGACAACCAAATGTGTCGCATTGTGTGAACCAAATGAAATCAGTTATTTAAAATTTTCCCTGAACTATTTAACATGATAAATAGTTATAGTATTGTACTATCACTCCGGCCCGGAGTGATAGTACAGTTGGGAGGGCGTTTACCTTGTACACGGCCGAAGTGGGTTCAATCCCCGGCATCCCATGGTGTCTCCCAAGCCCCTCCAGGAGTAATTCCTGAGTGCAGAGCCAGGAGTAACTCCTTTGCATTGCTGGGTGTGACCCCAAAAGCAAATATATATATATATATATATATATATATACACATATATATGTATATATATGTCATTTACAATAACTTGATAAGGATAAAAGGGGAAATGATTTGTTCTTCTGTTGTCAATTTTAAATGGCTTGATTACACTTTAGACTGGAGCGATAGCACAGCAGATAGGGCGTTTGCCTTGAATGTGGCCAACACGGCCAACCCAAGTTCGATTCCTCCACCCCTCTCAGAGAGCCTGGCAAGCTACGGAGAGTATCTCGCCCGCACAGCAAAGCCTGGCATGTATGGCAAGCTACCCGTGACGTATTCAATATGCCAAACACAGTAACAAGTCTCACAATGTTACTGGTCCCGCTCGAGGAAATCAATGAACAATGGGAGGACAATGACAGTGACAGTGATTACACTGTACCACTCTCCTCCCGTTGTTCATCGATTTCCTCGAGCGGGCACCAGTAACGTCTCCATTGTGAAACTTGTTACTGTTTTTGGCATATAGAATACACCACGGGGAGCTTGCCAGGCTCTGCCATGTGGGCAGGACACTCTCAGTAGCTTGCCGGGCTCTCCGAGGGGTTCCTAGGAATTGAACCCAAGGTGGCCGCGTGCAAGGCAAATGCCCTACCGGCTGTGCTATCGCTTGACTTGGCCTCAAAAAAAAAAAACCGCAAAACTAATCTAAATCTACTTTACTCAAGAAGGATTGTGTAAATTTAGCAGATTTTCCTTTCAAATTGAACCTAAGTAAAAATTCTTGGTTATCTGACAATAAGCTCTGAGGAAAGATTCTGAAAGAGATTCTGAAACCATAAAAGTTTTCCTAACTAGATCTAAAACGTTTCAAAATACAAAACTCAAATGGCATAATAGTATCTTCTACTTAAGATAGTAAGATCTTTGTAAGATAAAATGAAGACTTATCTGAAGATCCCTGGTGAATATTTGTAAATAAAATTGTTTCTTGGACATTTGGAAAACACATTAGTAAGATTTAGTAGAACTTAAAATTCTTTCATGGTGCATATTTCCATAGGTTTTAATCAGTCTGATGTGGAGAAAAATTAAATTAGTTTAATTCCTTAAAATATTTAGATTCACATGGGGCTGGAGCAATAGCACAATGGGTAGGGCGTTTGCCTTGCACCGAGCCGACCCAGGTTCGATTCCCAGCATCCCATATGGTCCCCCGAGCACCACCAGGAGTGATTCCTGAGTGCAAAGCATCGCCGGGTGTAACCCAAAAAGAAAAAAAAATTTAGATTCACGTATTTATATTCTTTGAATATTTTCATGTTACTTTCAATCAGGATGTCTTGAAGTTCATAATTTTATAATAGTGCCTTGTTTGTCGCCATAAATTTCACATAATGAGGCTTCTTTGAAATACATTCACATTTCAAATGGTTGGAAATAAAATAATCTTTTTCATTTGATTAGAAACGAATAAAAACATTATGTTATTATATAGCATTTCTCAAGACTGGCTTACATTATTAAATAAAGATCAACTTAGTCAACATTAAGAAATGTGTTAAAAATCAATATTCCTTTAGAAAAATAATGTTGATTATAAATAACTGAAAACTGCCTTTTAATATATTTCTGATTGCACCATTGTTGTAGAAGACGTTCTGTTCCCAAATCTAAAAGAGCTTCTTCTAAAACACAGGAAACTAAAATTACATTCCTGGCACTAGACTTGTTTATCAATTAAATATAATAAACTAAGGGAACACATTTTAGATGATATGGTTTGACATTTGGGGTGCCTGCTTGTGAATATGAGGTGAAAATAGTATTTCACAATCCAATTTAGAGATGACATTACTTTAATTATTAAGATTAATGCTTAAACTTTTTGACTATCATCACATCACTTATCGAAATGAAAATAAAGC